CAAGAAAGGTTCAAGAAACACTAAGAAGCATTTTATCCAATCAGCGTTTGACTAGAAGTTTTGCCAGAAACATTATGTAAGTGAAAAGTCACATGTAGAGTTTCTGATAGGTTGATTATTAGACTGCTACTATGTTTAGTAGCATTCCACAATTTTTAGGAAAACCAAAATACTTCTAAAAACTCTATATTTTCTGTACATAAGTAAACCTCTGGAGTAAAGTGCTTCTCGCGTATTTTGCGCTTTTTCTCTCGTGTATAAGTTGCTGTATAGATTTAGCTTGGGGGTTACAAGAATAGCTTAGGAACCGAGTACAGCGTTCAACTAGCAAGACTTACCAATTTCATAAGTAAATATCTAATAATAGTGAGAACTGCATCGAGAGAATTTTAGAAAAACTTGAAAATGTGTAATTAATGTGAAATAGGAAAAAGAATTCATTGATATTCTATAAATGAGGTATTTGTTAAACAATCTTCTTCACTAATTTTACATAGATGTTTTGTTCACCTATCTGTCATATTTGAATTGATTTATTGTGTAATCAAAAATATGTAAATGGATATTTTATTTGGTTTATGAGAGTTTTTTCTTTTGTCGAATGTATCATGATTAACTTTATTTTTGTCCTATGTGTTTTATCTCAGTAATTCTAAGGGATAATAAATCTATCTGTCTTGTCGAATCTGTTTCAAATAAACAAGAGCTTGATACTTAGTTATCATTTTTAGTAGAAATAATCTTTATTAATATAACTGATCTACTTACTAGGACGATCCCAATGAGAATTTGATATTAGTTTTTTTTTTAAATGCACTGAAAACCAGAGAAAATTGACCAGTGATTTTCATTGATCTAAAAGTGATATATATTTTCACCATCAATTACTTATTAATATCACTTCTTCGTAAAATTTCATACGATCCTTCTACCTCCTGTATAGGCTTTAAGAAAATAAGAGCAATAATCCCAGCAGAATAATGTGAATTCACTTGTTTTGTGAATTCTTTTTAGCCATTTACAATCTAGAAATTTTGTATCGGTCATTTTAAAAAAAAGGAAACAGATGCAGAAACTTTTACCATGTCAGTTTAAATGATTAACAATTAAAGTAGATGGAACGAATGTAAAATAATCAAAGTAAATAGATGTTAAGGCATGGATGAAAATTGTTCGTAAGGCTAATAAATCATAACATGAGTAAATAAATATTTTAGAGAGGAAAGAGAAAACTGACTAAAGCATATAGGTAACGAGTTCCTAGGATAGATAATTTATTAGAAAGATCAGCGATGAGAAAACGAAGTACAGATCAGACAAGCGGAAAAAGTATTTTTTAATCAAAATGGAATGAAATACTATACCACCAACAGGGTATTGTAAAGGACTAATGAGTCAACTGGATGCACACAAATTGACAAGTGATTGCACTGATGAGTGAATATTTCCCCTTCAATTTTGGCTCGTGTAGAATGCATTTGGAAACACAAAGAAGAAACCTCTTTACTATTATTTTGATGTACGTTTTTTGAGGTAAACATACGAATTGATTGAGATGAATGGAAACTTGCCTACTTTTGACTGTCTTAACGAGCAATTTGTTTGGCATAAAGTAGACAAATATAAACTAAATCCTTTAGAAAATATAACTACCGCTGTAAATTATTTGTAAGAAAATAATATTTACCTCAAGCAAATCACATCGTATTCCTTTCATTTTATCTCTCGCAAATAATAAATTCGTCGACAACCACTACTACGCAAACATTATTCAATAATGGTTATCTATTCATCTATCTTCCATCACGAATAAAGTTTGTGAATACGGTTGAATAATTGCCCTAGCAAAACTATTCTGTAACTTATTAGATGGGAGCTGTTCAAATTCATATGACGCTCGACCTCTGAGTCATTCCAATAAATGTACGTTCAAACCTTGTTATTTATAATATATCTTGTGGTGATAAATAAAACACAAAACCTCTCAGCAAATTCACGTTTCATTAGTAAGTACATATATACAAAAAGTATGTTTATGACTACTGACGGTAATAGATATATCACTGACATACTTGAAGTACTTTGCAGTGTTATCATTTATAATCATCACTTTGTGTTATGTACGTTCAACATAAAGATGTATCCGATAATTAAGGTTGACAACCACGTCAAAGTAACTTAATTCACTAGGCCAATTATAAACTATCTTTAAACTAAAACTACAGTTTTGTATACGTTATTAAGATCGACTTGAATTGTGCACTATCTGTATAATTATATCATGTGGAATAGTATTAAACACAGAAGACATATCTAATAAGACCATGAATTTATCACAACAAATGACAAACTTCTAGACCAACTTGAATCCAACGGTCTACATTTAAATTTTTAACCCTTACACAATGCGATCTAGATTATTTTTTTGCTGTAAAACGATACCATTTGCAAGCGTACAATCTGATGGATAAAACGGACATCATTAAAAACAAAAGAAATAGATTCGTTTTGCATTGGTTGCTTGAATCCCTCTATCGATGTTTAGAACTGCAATTGACCAGTTTCTTGTTGGCATATGTGCATACTGTGCGAACAGCCTCGATATTGCCTGAAGTCACAAGCATTACAAGCAAAGATGGATGTCTGTTAACAGTGGAATTCAGGACGCGCGTTTCGTCTTATTTAGAACGCATCAATGGGATATACCTGCATCTCAGACTTGATGTTCACTCTGGGACTCGAGCCCAGTCCCATTTGCTTCAAACGCCATCGCCTTATTTACTTAGTCCTGATAGCCACTTGCTTGTGCAGTGGGGTGAAGAAATAAACTTTTCATATACATTATTTCGGTTAACATTTTCTATTCACGAATAAATCAATTAAATCAAAAAGGAACTCAATTTACATTAGTTATCATTTTTTTAGAATGAAAAATGTTACAATGTATAATTTATTACTTTAAGATATTCATTAAGGGTTCGCTCAATTGTATCAGTGTCATTAGCATACATTCACATTTCCATTAATACATTTTAATTCGGAGTTCTTTCTTTAAAAATGGTTATATAACACTTGAAACAAGTTTATAAAACTGAAAAACTGTGTACTCATCATGAATACGGAAAAATTTAAGTAGGAAAACTGTGACGGTTGATAGCATTTTCTTACTGATCAATTCTTTGAAGAACTGAGAGGGGTTAACTTCAAAATCCATGCATCAAACATTCTGTTCCAAAAAATTATTACTGCTAAGGGAAAAGTCTAGAAGCTCAAAGGATGAAGATAAATGACAACTAATCACTGTCGTATATAAAAACTATTTAATTCAAGGACAATTCACTGAAATATAATCGTGATTTATAGTTCACATGAAAGTTAATCATCTCAGTAGATAGCTAAATTATTCGTAAATGCTTATAATCTGTTTAGTTGATACCCTATACAGAATACGAACTCCTGAAATATATATATAAAGTATTAAGAAACAAAAAGTCACAAAGGAAAACACTTTTCATTTTATGCCCTTGACTATGATGGTATCTGTGAGGCGATCACAGTGAAATATATCTCCCCCTCGACATATTAACAGTTCAAACATCCTTGCTAAACAACCAAAATGTATTCTTATCAAGTTGTTTTCTCAACGCCACGGTTACTTGGGCCGTTTTATCCAATTAGGATAGATTTATAATGTTAATAAAACGATAATAGGTTATTTGATGCAAAGCACTTAGACGGTCTTGTAACTAATTTTGATAAAACGATGAGATCAACTAACTTCTTATTATCCTGTCAAGATTTGACATAAGCCAAAGCATAATTATTGTTTCCTGGCACATTAAGAATAAACACCTGAAAGTTCCTTGAAATTTCCGCTTAATATCAAGAAGCTAAATAGGTGGAAGAAGTAAATCCCTCGCCACCCGATTTATCTACCCTTGTTACATGACAACTCAAATGCATATGTGACTTGTTGCCTAAACTTCTATTTACCAAGTTATACTACTTTCAAGTAACTAAAATATACCTACAGATTTTTCACCCTTTTAATTCCAAGCTGTATTGGCGTGTTCGAATACCATATATTACTAATGTTAGAATCACACATGTTCACTCCTATTAAACTATAAATATTTTATTTTTACTCCTGCTGTTTTTCTATTAGGATAAACACACAAATATTCCCTTTACCATAAATTATAGTGGTGCTTAAGTTGATGATAAAAATCATCAATTTTTATTACTGCTGTTCTAATGCATCTATAATTACACTAAGTTGGTAGGTGCTGGAAACCATTTTATTTAGTAAAGTAACATACTTATTTATAAAATATTTGAGACAAGTAAACGTCAGAAATCGATCAAAACATAAATGACTGTAAAATGAGTTTAGCAGATCACTACTCATCAGTCCATAAACTTGAAACTTCCCTATCGAACCGAATATCCTTGCCGTTATATCACCATTTTCATCATCTGATGGCAACTAGTTGTTCGGTTGTCGTTGTGAATATCCGGATATATTCAACCCCCCCCCCAGACTTCATAAACAAAAACTTCAAGTTTATTAGGATTCCTACTTGTATGAATAGCTCTACGACAAATTAAAGCTTGATTTCTCATGGGTCAACACTAAAATTCCAGTCGAAAGACAACCTGTCAATAGAAAAGGAATCTAGCATACGCTATTACATGAGTTGGGGACCATTTCGTTCGGGTGGTCTTCATCAAGCCACACAAGAACAAAAAACACTAAGTAGGGAATTTTCATTAGTTGATTAACCTTATTTATTCTTTTTTGATAAAATTATGAATATTTTGTTATTTCTGGACGAAAAAATCATATTGTAGATAATTTATAAGTTAGTATTGAGATGTATGTCGATCAGAGACCAAGTTTATGTGTTATCAGCATATTCAAAGGCAACAAATGTTAAAGCTAATATAAGTGAAAAAGCAACACCAATGAAGATTAAGATCAAATATAAAAAGTAGGTTAACTAAGTTCCAACTGGATAACATCTCAATAAACTCACTAATATATTGATTTACTCTACATTGCTCAGTAGTTCAAAGTCAAATAAACTAAGTCACTTCACAACTGATTTATCCATAATTTAATCTAGAAAATCAATTTACTAATGTCTTACGATTTAAAATGTCGCAGCCAATCAAAATAACTGTTTCATACATTTAATTCCAACCCATAAAAATTTTAAGGTTCAAGATCAATCCATGAGGAGTTGGAAATATACACACGACTTTCATTGATTAACCAGGATAGATATCAACGATCTTTGGACGACTTGTTAAGCCAGTTAAAGAACTACGGTATCTTGCTTTGCGGAACTGACTTTAATCACTGAGCGCCGAATTCGAAACTGGTCCATATACGAATACTTAGATGAACAGCCAAGGCAACACAATAACGTATATATTGTGATCATTATCAGCAATTTTACCATTCATTTATTTCTTGATTAGTATTTTACCGTAGTATGCATGGTGAATCAGAAATAAAGACAAACGTGGAGCTTTCCAATAAATTAATTAGTTAGTAACTTAATATTTCACTTGCAGAATAAAAAGAAGAGTTAAACATTAGGAAGACCGAAGTCACTTCTACATTGTCAATGAAATACATTTATATTATGGCAAATTAAACCTATAGACGAAGTATATACAACAAAATAAATGTGATTACATGGATTACAATGCTGGGTATCTCAAAGTATACTCAAGTACTTATACAATTATTTTTCCACAACTATTTTTTCAGTCAATTTGCTCTTAATCATCTGTTACTTTCTTATTAAGAACCTCATCAAGTTTCTCATAGAATAGTTCTTCTGCAAACTGTTGCCAGTTTTCAATTGTCCAAATGCAATTTCCTCCGGGAATGGTCTTGTGCAGTTCTTGTAAACACTCTACTTTAATATCCGACGCCACTTTTGCATACTGAGTTCTCCACAAACAATCTGAAGTAAATGAAAATTGATCGATAAACGTACCTTTAGATCTTATTGTGTGATTTGTGACTTTTCTCAAGTGAATATCCACATTATGAAGTAAATTATCTAGATTAATAAGCCTGCTTCTGTTTTTCTCCTCATTTTTTACAGAATCTTCATTTCGAATCGGTTGGTTCAACAACAGTTTTAAAAAATTAAGCAAACTGACAGGACTATGTCTATCAACAATAGAAGCGATGGGATAAAAAGACAGACATACACATTCTCTTCAACGGAACTGATTGTGATTGTATGCTTCTCCCATAAATTGTTAACTGGATCTGGCCACTCGAATTTTCTCTCCATTTTATGGATAGTATCATCTGGAACTGGACTTGGCCTGGAGCGATTTCTAAGGATACAAGTATCCATCGCACATTGAAAAGCTATTGACGCATAACTACATGAGTCTGGTATAATAAGAAAATACAAGATTACACTTTCTTGCTAAATTATAGAATGAACGACGCATACTACAGTAGTAGAAGTTGTCGTCTAGTAAAACTATGACATCTTTTGCATCTAAAGTAGAGTATATGTTTATCCTCAACCAAATAACTTGTTCCTTTTCATTCAGATCGTGTATAATCTCAAAACCCTTCCATAAAGCTAACAGCTTCTCCAAACAACCAACAACAGCTTGACGCCAAGCCTTCCAATCAGAATTCTAGTCCAAATATTCAAAAATAAACAAATTTCATACATTTGCTTTCAGAGAGAGCATTTGTGCTGGAACAAGTTGATCATATTCTAGCCACAAAATTGAACAATCATTTGTTTCTAACTGATGCAGACGTTCACATAATGTACTTTTCCCACTTCCTGGAAGACCTAAGACAGTCGTTAGTACCACTTGTTTCATAAGCAAAACTGAAATTGAAAAAATCGAAGTTATCTGATTATGACGCTTAAATTAATTTGTTTGCGCTTAAACGATAGTTTGGTGCAAAAAGAAAACCACAGGGAGTGAAAGTTATTAAAAGATCATCGGGAGTCTGATTTAAAAGTCTAAGTTCTCAGTTGTGGATTAGAGTCTCGCATTTCATTGCAGTTACACGAGTACGCAAAAACTTTCATATTCCAAAACTTACAATACTAATAGTAAATGAGGAGATTGTATGTTAAGTTTTACCAGGCAGATAGACACTTTCTGTTTCAGTTTGTAAGCACTGACAGTTGTCGGTTACGTTCACATGGAAGCGAAAAGAATTAAAACCAGACGTAACTTGGATACTGGATAGGTTTACGGAAATAATAGTAAACACTTGAAAGACGTTTCTAATGGGTTGCGCACACGATGAAATAGCGGCAGCTCTTATGACTCATAGACGGATTAACATTCCCAATATCCACATCTATCTACATTTCCTAAAGGCAAACGAACAATCAATTTGATGAGATTGTTTCTAAACGCGATATTAAGTGGCAAGAGTTTATCATAGCTAGCTAATAAAGGTTGAAGCTGTTTGGTAGTAATGCCTACAACATATTTATTTCGCAGAAATGAGCAAGACTTGTGGATCGTAAATGGACTAAATAGGTGTGATTGAGAATATCTCCATACATATTTGCTCCCTCACGAGAAAATATAGGCTTATAATTCCCATCCACTGACTCTAAGAAAGAGAACTAACAATCTTGTTGGGTCCCTGTTAGCAGGAGCTTTGATTAATACATATTCGAGACAAGTCGGAGAACCCCCTCCTAGTCCGCTGGAATATTTCTGTGTAAATTTTATGCACATGCCAACGTTCTCAATATATTAGCTATTGTTATTTGCTTAGGGAATATTTTTTGTTTCCTTTCAATTGGCGTTTTGATTTGACATTGAAGAAATTCTAAGGTATTATAGTTTGCCTATGACGTAAAAACCTCTTAGTTCACAAGCGCCAACCAAGCCTGGGATAACACTAGGAAGAAAGAAAGCAAGGAATATATAACTCTTGATTGGCATTTAAATAATAAGTTATAAACGGACTACTTAAGTGGTGAGACTACAATTTATGGACAAAGCAATGAATTTGAAGACATTCAGTATGGATTTTGATGCGAAGTTTACCCATATATATGCTATATAGCATTATAGAACTATAGCTGATGTCACTATGATGAGGACCTTAACTACAAACTCTCAACCACAAACCTAATTCTCCGCACTAATCTACAACCCTCTTTTGATCTTATTATCTAGGTGGATTTTCTTAAGGTCACTTTAGAATCGCTCAAAGGTCATCCATAAATTATAGTCTCACCTACGTTAAAAACATTAATAGGCCACACCAACCAACAAACGTAGGGTCGACTTTAGGCACTCGATATGTGAGAAATAAGGCTGTCCATTCACTCGGCGTATTAAAAAAATTTGTCTAATGATAGCTAAACGACCAAGAAATCGACAACTACAAAAGCCACTATATATGGATAAAACCTTAAACTCATAATAAGTAAGGTAATGTATGAAAAACTTTCACAAACACAAGGGCCACGAAGAACAAAGCTTCGAACTTAAGCTTAATGTGCAATGAACATTGTCCTTCAAACTAAACTCGTTCACATCTAATATTCAATATCTGACTGATGAGCTTGGGAAAACCAACTGATTTCTTTGAGCTCGCTTCTTGATACATTAGTATGCTTCTAGATCTTCGAAGTCCTCCAGTATGTGTCACATAGCCATTTAGCTGCTATTATGTTTGTAAATGCGATAGTTATTTGAGGTACAATTTACCTTATAAATATACGAGTAGGTTTATTCTGGAACAGTGGGTTGGCCAGAGCGTGATCGCGTCCGCTGTGAGAGTACCTCAGACTTTGCCCTTAATAAGGAAAAGTATGATCATATTTAGGTTTTCGCTTTCTGATGTGTTACTCGTCGAGGATTACTTCATGAGGTACACTGAAGAAGCTTAGGTAGCATGTTTTTTATTTGGATGGTCATGAGTATTTAGTATGCAGTACTACATTAACTGATTGCTTCATACTCCCTTGTAGCTTAGAGAGAATAATCCGAGTTTGAGGAGTCAGACTTCAAAAAATTGCTCCTCAGTCCCATGACCCACCTTGTGGAGTATCTTTGTACTTGTTCCAAGAGACCTAATTCGTTTTGTGATGAGGAGGTGCTACAATGCTGTGTTTCTGGACGTTGGCAAATGTATGTTCGGGATGTTGCTAAAAGTCAACACGCCTGATCATCTCTAAATAAAGTGGAGGGTGGTGTAGACTTAATTAGCATTCAACAGATAATCAAAGTTTTCCATGACTATTAAGAATAAAGTGGTTCGTCTTCCCTCTTTCGGGAGTTGTCACATTTGGGCGTGCTGGTAACCCCTAGGCACTATACCAGAATTCCGGGGTGGATGCTGTTACAGCTTAAAGAGTTTCTTTGTCGAAGGGATTTCAACTTTTTCAAGACTAACCCGGGAATTTGGTGGATGTTTTCGGACCATTCGAAGTTTCTAATGTGGAAGGATGTCCCGAGGTTGTGAGTTCCTGGTTTGGCTGAGTGTTGAAATAGTCACGGAATATTTCTGCAATCTCTGCCTGATAAAACCTTTGCGCATAGGGTTTCTAATTTGTGGACTTTAAGAAGTCATATTTGACGAGTTGGGATAACTATAGGGTTATATGTTTGTCGCAAGTCGTCTTTCAGATATTGGCTCTGACCATATATAACGAATTGTTTGGGCAACGTAGTGTTCTAAAATATAACAAATTGTACTTTACGTTGCTGTTTTATGCCGCTGATCACGTTCATTCGCTACGTTTTTCCGTCACATATCACGACAATCACAGCCGGGCTTTAATTGTAGGATGTGAGTGATTCCCGTTTTCACCATGAATTACAGTAGACCTAATCAAAATCCCTTTAACAACAATGACTAAAAGGACATTCAGTGCTGCTAAACTGCGAATAACCTTCACCGGTGAGAACTTATTTTCTGTATCCATAAAAAATAAGCTTCCGCATGTGGTCGCCTCTGTGTGCATCTACCAGTTCACCTGCTCTTGTGGAGAAAGGTACATCGGCCGTAGCTAGCGCTCACTTTCAATTCGGATACGAGAACATATCCCAGTTTGGTTCTACAAGGGTGAAAAGAAAGCATTTAGGAGTTCTATACTTGAACACATAATCGACTGTGATCATTCTACGCATCCACAGTCTGATTTTAAGGTTGTTTATATGATCCATTCAAATCTACCTAGATTTCTTCGTATCGAACTCCTAAAAATAGCCGAAGCTCTTACCATCCATTAGCTTAAACCAGAACTATGCATACAAAAGAAGTACGTCTTATCATTATCGTTACCATGGCCTTAATATTATTATTATTGTATTATTATTACTGCATTTCCACTTTATTTGTGTCATATTCTCATTATTTTATACATAAATACTCATCATATCACCTTATTTATTTTTACACCTCCATGGCCTTTAATGACCTTTAATCATTGTAACAAAAACATTTTATTCATTTTAATCGTCTTATTATATTCACCAAATCCATTGTTATTGCTCGTATTACGAAACCTAGTATTACAATCTTTCTATTACGTCATCTTTATTACTGTTCAAATTTCCTCACGGAATTAGTATGTGGCGTACCAGACAATATATAAACGCAAAAGATATCAACAAAGTTAATAACAACCAATAATGATATTAATATGTATAAGTTAAATGATACGAATGCAATAAATAATGGGACTTTACTTAAGTTCACCCGAAATGATGCGTGTTCGACTTTGATCTGGTACAATAAATCCACAATTATAGATGCTTAGTAATTCCAAACGTATCGATGATCTCCCCAGTATTGTAATCCAAAGTAAGATATGATATATTCACTTTCTCAGTCTATGAATGTAAATAATATTTGTTTTAGAAGTAAGTTAACTCAATCTTGAATGAAAACAGAACGAGGGATGTGTGAGTATTAATGTATTTGGTAGCCAGAAAGAATATGTCACGCTATGTTGGAATCACAACGGAAAGTGTCTTCAAGGTCATTGACTAAAACAACATGTACAGTCATTTAATGATGAATGTACATACAGTGAAAAATTGACAAAACAAATACAAATAATATTAAAAATTATTTACAGAATAAGCTTGTCGGTCTTATCTCCACATAGCTCCCCCCAGAGTGTCCGGAGGTAACACTGGTTACAATAACAATAATAAAAATTGTATACAAAAAGAAATAATGTTTACAATAATAACCAATTAACAATGTGGAGATGCATATGACATGTATGTTAATAATATACAGTGTGTTATTGCGTGAAAATAGCGGTGATGTGGCATAGCATGACAAACAAAAGTAATGAGAATACCGTCATTTAAAATCTTAGTTTGCTAACAATGATAATAATGTGTGAAACTGTTAATCACCCACAAACACACAAAAGAAAAATTGAACTGTTTATTTTTGTGTACAATGAATAAATAATTAAATAGAGTTTACTCGTTTATTATTGTAACAAAAAAATTTTTTTTGAAAGAAAAAAAATGTAACAAAACGAATAATTGTGGACAAATGTGATTATGTACACTGTAGAAAGGAAAATTTTTTTAGATGAGATTGATAGTGTAGGTCCTCGATAATTGTTTGCTTTTATTGTTTTGGTTTTTTTATATGGCAAAATGTACATAACGCTTTTGTTTTTTATAAGTCTCCCAGATCGTGTTAAACAAGAGGGTGCAGTGCTAAGTTTTTCCTCTTCCTCTTGTTTCTTAGCAATTGATGGGAGTGATTGTTTGTTCGCAGTATTGTCGTCTGTGGCTTGAGGTGCTTCGTAGAAAGCTGGTTTTATTCGGTCTATGGAAATTGTTTCATTGTTCCCGTTTTTGTTGATAATGAAATATTTGTGAGTGCATTTTATTACTTAATAAGGACCGTCATATGGTGGTGTCAGTGGCTTTTTTACCGCGTCTACTCGAACAAAAACAAATTTTCACGTTTCTAAAAGTTTATCGAGATGGACTGGGTTGTTGTATTCTCGAGGTGGTATTGCTCTAATGTTCTGCATCATTTGTAATAGGCGACTTGCAAAGTGAGTAAAATCCCCGTGCGTTGTAGGTTCATAGTTGACTAGTTGGCCGGGTAACGTTAGAGTTGTACCATAGACTAACTCGGCGGCTGTACATCCAATGTCTTCCTTTATGGTTGAACGAATACCGAGGAGTACAAGCGGTAAGGCATCGCTCCACTTTGATGAGTCAGCTTGCGCCGTCAGTGAGCTTTTCAATTGGCGAAGGAATCTTTCAACCATGCCATTAGCTGCTGGGTGGTAAGCTGTGGTTTTAATATGGTTGACCCCTAGAAGTTTAGTGAACTCCTGGAAAAGGACAGATTGAAATTGGGGACCACGATCCGTTGTGATTATTGATGGTACTCCATAGTTAGTTATCCAGCGGTCAAGGAAGACTGAAGCGACTGTTTCTGCTGATGTGTCTTTAATGGGGCATGCTATGGCCCATCTTGTGAACCTATCTATTGCGGTGAGGATATGAGTGAAAGAGTTTGATGGTGGCAGAGGCCCAACTAAATCTAAATGCACGTGCTGGAAGAGTTTGTCAGGGATAGGGAACTTCCCAATTGGACTGTGGGTGTGTTTTTGCGTCTTACTGCGTTGGCACTGGAGACAGTTACATGTCCAACGTTTAACATCCGAGTTGATTTTAGGCCACACAAAACGTTCGGTAATGAGCTTTGTTGTTGCTCTGATGCCTGGATGTGAAAGACCGTGCAAGTGCTGAAATACTTTTCGTCTACAAGCGAGTGGGACAAACGGACGATTGTTGCTTGTTGAAGTGTCACACATGATAAATGCATCCGAAATTGGAATTGGTACTGGTTTGAGATCTAAGCTAGACTTTTCTTTGCAGGCTTTTAATTCTGCATCGTCTGCTTGTAACTTAGCCAAGGTTTCAAGGCTGATGTCATGATTGAGTACCATCGTATTGATATCCCTCCTAGATAGTGCATCTGCAACAATGTTCGTGTGACCTTTGATAAACCTGATGTCTGTGGTAAATTGGGAGATATAATCAAGTTGTCGTGCTTCTCGTGGAGAATGTTTGTCATACGATGTGCTAAAAGAATGGTAAAGGGGTTTGTGGTCTGTCATAATGATGAAATCACGACCCTGTAGCAAAAAGTTGAAATGTTTTACCGCTAAATACATAGCTAAGAGTTCGCGTCCAAAAGTACTATAACGTTCTTGTGCTGGCGATAATCTCTTGGAGAAAAAGGCAATGGGGGTAATCGTGTTGTTTACCCGCTGTTGTAATACTGTCCCGACGGCTTTTTGTGAAGCATCCGTGCATAGGATCAACAGTGTTGTGGGGTCAGTATTCAGGTGTTGGAGCATGGTAGCATTAGCAATCAAGGATTTAGCTTTCTCAAATGCTACTTTGAGGTCTGCAGGTAGCTTGAATGTTTGGTTCTTTTCTTTCTTGGTACCTGATTTATCGTTTTTCAGTATATCTGTCAATGGCTGTAGTACATCGGCACAATTTGGTAGAAATCGTCGATAAAAATTACATGTTCCAAGGAAACGACGCAGTGATTTTACTGATTTTATTTTTTATCAGAAGGCTGCGTGTTCGAATCACGTCGGGCTCACCAAATAATTAAGGCGGACCAGACAATA